ATCAAGTCATTTCGGGATGGTTTTCATCGTGTTTTCAAGTGTCAAAGAAAGCGAATGCTTTCAACATTCAATAGTATATCTTTATCATGTCGTTCCGTTACCCTCGAACGTACTGATGTAACTGATTGTTCTATAACACAACCAGAACTTGTTGCAGTACAAACTAAAGGCGAGACGTTAGAATTTCAAGCCTGATTTAATCGCAAAACACATCATATAAAAAAATAATCCACGAGAAGTTCGCAATGTAACTCGCAAAAAATAATTAAATGAAAGCATTTTTTTATTATAAACTTTCTAAACTAACTAAATTTCTCTGGTAAAAACCATTGCTAAACAAATCTTCATAATCTTTAGGCCCATGTTCATTTTTCATTTGCATTCTTTTTATTATTAATGAATTAAGGTGATGTACAATATAGTAATGTAGACTTCAGAACACAGATGCAAAAAAATTACAAAAGCAAATATAAATTGTGGACGTGGGATTAAACTATAAACTATAAATATTTATTAGACTATTCAATCACTTTCAATTTCACTGGAAAATCTCAGTCTTTTACATACTATGTAAATGTTTTGAAAATTGTATTTTACAAACATTTTTTTCACATTTACAAAAAATCTACATTGAGTAGGAGGAAAAAATTACAAATGATTTTCAATTTCTTTTGAAATTTACATAGTATTTAAAAGCACCTTGGTCCTGTAAAATCAATTTTACAGTCTGTTTACAAACAATTTACACATGATTTACATAGTATGTAAAAGTCTGAGGTTTTCCAGTGTTTTAGTAGAGCGAAATCACAGGGAAAAAATTGATAGAAGCATGTTTGATGTTTATCTTCTTTTTTTTTCACTTTATGTGTCATAGTTATTATAACAAAATGTGTCCCTTATTTCTACTGCGTTGTTGCTGGCGCATACTTGGACTATTCATTCGGGTTTTAATTATGAAGGTTTTAGTTATAAATTGCACGTTTTAACTTTCGCTGTCGTAGTCCTGAAAGTAGCCACTTTAATGTATATTTAACAAATTTATCATGGCTTCTCGCGGAATATCTATTTTCTGTTTACCTTTTACTAAMGACTCTAAGACTGTGTGTTTATTCGAAACATTATATTCGCTTGATTTGATCAGTGTTAGAGGCATTACAGACTGAAGAAGCTCTAGTCCTGGCAAGGAGATCCTTCCTTGAGTAGGCGTGTTTTTCAGAAGCTGATTCCTTATTCGACCATTTTTAAAGTGGAAATCAAAGATAGGCTGAGCTTTAATCAGGCTTGTGAGCGAAGTACAGCTGCTCAACCTTAGAAGAGGAAAGGGCTAAACTATAGAAACAGAGAACCAACTTATTAAAGAATTTTTCATTTCCACTATACGTCACAGGGCGGCCATCTTGGAAGAACTTCATAAAGGATTCCTCATTAGTATCTATTGTTCATTTCATAGAATTCCTCCAACATGGCTACCAGGCTTTTATCTTTTTAAGTCTCATGGGAATCGTTGAAAACGATCAATACTTTTTGCAAAAGAGCTAAACTTGAATAAACCTGATTGACAGCTGTTTGGGTACATGACAATTTCCAGTTAAAGTGTTAGTCACTTTCTAATAATTACAGTGATATTGACGACTTACTGAGAATGATGCGAAGTTAAATTAAATTCTTTCAATAGGATTCTGAGCTGCATATGAGTTGTACATTTACATAAGCTCGAAAAAACGAAATTGTCACCTTTAAAGGTAGAAATACGTAATGTGGACAGCTGAAAAATAGCCAAAAGCAAAATAAAAAAGGTTTTGACCCGCGGCTTCGTGCTTCACTGGTCTGCTCTCGAATTCTCTCCCAATCAAACGCCTCGGTTTTCATAGTGCTATGAAGGCACGGAAAACATGTTTTATTTCTTAAATCTTTATCGCGGCGTTCCGTTACCTTAGAGCATACTGATGTAACTGATTGTTCTATAACACAACCAGAACTTGTTGCAGTAAAAGCTACAGGTGAGACGTTGAAACGTAAAGCCTGATTCAGGCGCTCTGAACAACAAAAGGAAATGACTCTCAATGGAAAGTTCGCAAATGCATTCACAAAAAGACAAAGATATAAGTGAATGAATGAAATAGATAAAAAATACACGGCATAATCTCTTTCTTCTCGTAGTGATCTTTCATCATTTACTGAGGTTTCCATATCTCACAGGTGAAAACCATTGTTCAAAAAATCCTCTAATTAAATCTTGAGTGTTTAGGGTTTTTTTTCATTTTGATATAGTTATGAGACTCAATTAGACTTCAGAACACAGATTGATTGATGCAAAAAAAAGACACTAACAAAAGCAAACATAAATAACGAACAATTAAACTATGCAGAACGAATTATTAAAAAGTACAATAACTTGCAATTTTAGAGCGCAATCCCTGGGGAAAATAGTAATAGAATAGCATTGTTTGATTCTTTTCGTCGGTCTGTACGGACCCGAGCAAGGAGAATATGATGCACGAAAAGATTCGGATTTGTTTAATTTATCCTTTTTGTACTATGTATTGCATGTATTCCCTAGTGTAAATAGTTTACTTCGTGTAAATGTGCTGCTTGTAAAGTACCGKTTTATGTTGTATAAAKTTAGTTAGCCAGAAACCATCAGTGAATAAAGATTTAAAGGAGAAAAAGTCGTCTAACTCAATTTGAAGGATGGACGGTGATCCCGTACATTTTGGTAGCAGAGCAAGGTTGTTAACAAAGGTACTGACGGCCAATATATTAATTTAAGTTACAAGTTGAGTTTATAATATGACTTTGAAGCTATTAGTTCTTGTAACTTGTGCAGTTTCAAAACCAAACACGCGTTCGAGAGAAAGTTAAAAGGCAACACTAATTCAAAGAGTTCCTTTTTAATTTCCTCTATCGAGCAAGAGTTAAAGTCAAGAGAATGTTTCAATAACATTAAATTTTGTAGTTTCAAATAGAGCAAACACAGGAAAAACACGAAATAAAATCATACTAAACACTAAAAATCGGAGACAAATTGTCAGTATCAATGAACCAGAACACAATGAAGATGAATCCACATGGGACCATTTTTAATTCATCTTCAAATGATCACATGAAAGTGATGTTCATCACTAGATTTCGCGATAATTTTAATCGTGTTTTCAACTGTCGAAAAGAGCGAATACGTTCAACATTCAGTGAGATAT